TTTGCAAGCGCTCTAGCGTCGAGGGAAAGCACTTTGGAAAAAAATGCCAAGAGACAAAAATGTTCAGGACACATTTCTCTATCTGCTCTAAAAATTTGACAAAGATTTGTGATAGTTCATTGAGCAACTTAGTTCGTCCCTATCGTGCACTGCCTCTTATATAAGTTTAACTACAAAACAAAAGGGTGAATGAATTATGGACCGTGACTCACGTCGCGACTACAGTTTTTCTCACGTTTCGCGAAGCGACTGCAGGAGCTTTGTTGCGTCAGAATCATGAGTAGGACTCACTTCGGCAGTTCTAAGACTTCTCTAGGATCTTGCTGCGCCAAAAACTTTTATTGTGCGTCATGGCTAACATTTTTTGAAAAAAATAAAGCTTTTAGCATGACATCTATGTGATAGCACGAATCAATCGATCTCGAAGCAACAGGTGCGAAACCATAGCGATCACGGACGCGACAGCGAGATCACTCCAGGAGTTCGGTGTGAAAGTTGACTTGGAAGTGAACATCAATACTGGGATTCCTAAGAAAATTGATACTATACTTTACTATGAAAAATGACGACCTCAATTTGCATGTGGAACTATTTATCCATATAAAACAAGAAATATTTTTCTGTTTGAAGTTTTCGAGACAAACTTATTTTTTTTTATATATTCCTTTTTAATTTTATTATTATTATTATTGTTGTAGATTTTCGTTCTCTCTTTTTTCTTTTATATTACTAACCTGTTTTATTCACCTGTACAACATGCTGTAATGGTCTTAGGGCCGATTGCATGTCTTATTAGTTATTTTCTATCAATAAAGGTTAAATCAACTTATTTTTCAAATATCCTTCAAAACGCACTTACACGAAAGATTTCTAAATTTATTTTTGTATAAGAATATGCGATCAGATCTGAGCTATCGATTATTGTACATCGCTGGTCTTCATCTCTTGTTCAAAAGGTTTGTGCTCGTCATATGCATAGTGTGTAACAGTTTTTAAAATCGTTTTTTCACAACTTTTGCTCGTGTTTGTTTTTTATTTTCTGGTACTCTATTTTTCAGCTCATTTGTTCTATATTCAAGAATGGAAATAAAACACTGGAACCATCTGATGAAATGCCACAAAAATGAACTAACTTTCGCATTTTTACTATTTGCTTCTGTCGAATTTATTGTGAAAAAGCCGATATGTCCCAGTAGTAAAGTACATCTTTCGTAATCTGTTACGTGAGAAGTACACAAAAAGAAACCTCTTTGCTGAGAGCGGACCTCTTTTGTCGTTTTCGTCGTGTTATGACAGAACTCTCGGCGTACACACACGCAATAAAACAACAAGATAGTTCCTACATTTTTTTAACATTTTCTTGTTCCCATGTGGGTTGAAAATTTGGAATTGCTCTAGACTGATATTTTAGTGATTGAAGAGCGTATATTTTTCATTATCATAGTGAAAGTTTCACCGTATCCAGATTGATACTTTTAGTAGCATTTTCTAGGGTTGACATAAGAGAAACTCTACTCTGATCATGAGTAGTAGATTTCACTGAAAGAAAAGTGCTTAGGATCCTCAATCTCGATGGTGAAACATTTATCACAGAGATTATCATCAATAAGTCTTAAGGTGCGAACGCAAAGCTGAAAAGTCGACTCTTAAGAAATGACATAGAGCCTCAATGCTCCTATTAGCTGATGCTGAAATCCTCAGCTGTATATCAACTAAAAAGTTATTTAGATTCTTCTGAAACGATTGAGGCTTTGACCGAACGCAAACTAAGAATGATCAGTAGACAGACTTTACAATTAACGTAGAATAGCTGCGAGAAAGGGAGCCGTCCAGTTACTCAGAACCTTGGCGGCTAAGGATCCTTGCAGAGCTTCAGTCACTGTTAATGTAAATTGATATTGAGCGTGCTTCAGCTCATTCAAATTTTCCTCAGTGGTTAAGAATAAACGTCACTTCCATAATTGACATTTGTCATTATGAAAGTCTTATAAACAGTGTCTAACGTGAATCGTGACATATTACATTTTAAAAATCTCCTTAAATTATGTATGATAGTTATGCTCTATAAACTTTTTTCTGTAAAAATTGAGTAATTACCTTTAAGCACTCATCCATCACATATAATTATCGTTTTAACTTTTCTTGTCTTCGTGTAGCTCTGAGTTTGCTCTTTCGAAAGGTATATAAACAAAAGTTCTTTCTTTTCGAAAAATATCAAAATAGACGCGAAAAAGTGATCGTACGAATAGTTGTTGAACGAAAAAAACCGACCGAGGTTAAAAATCGTCTATCTTTCGATAAAAGGACTTCAGATAAAAGTCTTTACTTAACAATGATTAAAGCTGAGACTTAGGACTGTTGAATGATAAAAAAGAATTTTTCTAACTTTATCCGTTCAAGAGATAATGACGTTACAAATTGTTTGTCTTCATCATACAAACACTTTCTCCACTTACTGTAGATATAGAAAAAGCGCAAAATTGTTTAGATATAAGATCGCGATCAACGCCAGTAAACATGGGAGGTAAGCTGTTCGCCTTGGACGTCTATAAATAGACTTTTTCTTTTGTACAATAAATATGTTGTATATATGAAAGTGATTTAAAAATTCTTATTTTAGGGAACTTGTCATTTCAACGAAAATTGAAAATAGGAGTAGAAGAGACAAAATCTCCCAAAAGTAAACTGATAGCATTTGTACTATGTATTTGCTAGTATTCCTCTTTTTTGTTCTAGATTCTGCAACGTCTCATGAACAGCAAAATACATTACATAAATATTTCAAACCGGATAAAAACTTGAATCAAGATGAGGGCAGTGCTAATAAAACAACAACAAAACAAAATAAAGACAGTGATACCAGTTCAACAGTAAATATGATTTCTTAAAGCATTTGAACAGTTTCAAGACAGGACACTAGAATTTTTGAGTCGTCTGTTAAGTATAACCGCTAACCAAAAATAATGTTTAATACAGAGCTGTTACAATACACTAGAAAAGTGTAAGATGAAATGTACTGCAGGAATACATTGATATAGTGTAACTGTAAGCTAGTAGCGGACTGACCGAGTGGGGGTGGGGGATAGTACATGAGAGTGAGCCGCTTAATAAGCTGCTCCAAGCAAAGTATGAAAAGTAGAATAATATGAAAAGCATGAAATGGATGAAAAGTAGACAAAAAGAGTAGAAAAGTAGAAGAAAAAGTAGAAAAAAGACGGCTGCCACATCTTCGTAGAGAAAAGTACTTTACACTTTTTTGGTGTATTCTAACAGCCCTCGTTTAATATTAGAATTGCAAAATGGCTCAACACTAGTGCTATTTTTTTCTAAAATTTTCTTAATCTGCACAAGCGTTTTTATATACCTTTTGTTTTATTGTTATTACTTTATTTTATTCTAGTGGTTTCGTTGTAAAAACAAGCATGACGGACAAAAACGCAAAGAAATGAGTGAAGATGACCAAAATACGAAATATTTATCATCAACAGCTTCAAATCCATCGTTCACAAGATTATCCATTAAATTTTCTGATTCATCTGACGAGGATGAAATAGATATCGATAGCAAAAGAACTTATTTGCGTTCATCATTTTCACCAAAATCTGACATACGTATCTATAGAGAGGGTTATCCGAATGCGAAAGATGATATGAAAATAAATGACAACTATGAGTTTTATACAAATAAGAAGAAATCGGAGCCTGACGGTGATTATATTGATAACATACACAAAAACTGGTTTGGACAATATAAAAAATTAGAGAGACATCATGGTAATAAGACCGTAATACAAATTTGAGTAGTGAGAAAATATGATAATTACTCACAAATTGTTTCCCAGAATGATGGCAGTTAATAAATCTAGGTTGCAAATATCACAATTTTAGTTCCGATCGTGGTTATACTAACAAAGTCGAACGGATACTTTTCTCCAGTTCAATCTTACCAATAATATTCTTTTTTTCAGGTTATATTCAATGGTTGTTTCCACTACAAGAACCAGGTTTAAACTGGTCTGCTCAACCATTACAAAAACATGAAATTGATTGTATAATCAAAGATCAAAGAGCTCATGAACGTATATTACTATCATATAAGTTGATGCTTGATTTTTATGGTTTTAAATTGGTGAATACGGAAACGGGTGAAATTAGTCGTAAAGACAACAATGACAACGACAATCTTGGGTATCGAAGCCGTTTACATAATTTGAATACATCATCACATAATTATTTACGAATAACACGAATATTAAAATGTTTAGGCGAATTTGATTATGAACATTTAAAGTTTGGCTTTCTCGAATGTATACTGCGTGAAAGTATAACAGAAAATACATTAAATAATTGCTTGCGTAGTTGTCGTGATTATTGGATTCAAACCCTGCGCAGTAAACAAGACAGACAAAGTTTAAAATGTTATGCGAATAAACTTATTCAGTATCGAAATGAATGTTCATTACCACCAGTAAATTTTCGACCAAAACGGTCCCAAACAGCAATTGATCAATCATTACCACCATCGACAGCTGATACTTAATTACTATAATCTTCGAAACTAATTCTCTTTCAAACTTGGTATTATACAAAACGGTGAATTTTTTCTCTATTGTCTAGTA